TACACGTCCACACGCCGGCGGCACTCGCCGTAGACCGACCGCGCAAAGCCGGAAGCCTGATGTGGACGCCTCGGGAAACGCGCTCTCTCCTGTTGGCTCGATGCACGGTGCACGTGTCAGCTTCACTGTGGGCAACTAAAAAAAAAACTTCCGAGATTGCATGGTGGCCCAAGTATAATCGTACTGTACTGCCCTAGCAAAGAACAGACGTATCACGCATGTATATACTACAGTATGACAGATATCGATCGCAGGAAAGGAGATTCCGGACGGTGTAGACGAGAGAGAGAAACCAGCAGGATTGTCGGCTGAAGCACGTGTACGACTTATCACTAGATCGGGTTACAAAGCACGTTTGTTTGTTTGCCAGTTAGGTACGGAATTTGGTTAGGATTACATCTTAATCATCATCACTAGATCGGTCTACAAAGCACGCGTGCATTACCTACTTTGTTTAGGAGCATTTTGCAATTTCAAATGGCATCCGTACACTAGACCTGGAAGCCACGTACCGTACCGTACGAACCAAGCAATTCCATTTTTATTCTTATATGCACTCCTAAAACAGAGGACTGCTATCATTACAACGCTGCACTGCCGATTTGTGTTTTTTTCGAAAAGGGGTTTACCCCAGCCCCTGCATCGGAAAGATGCATACGGCTCATATTATTAAAAGGAAATCCAACAACAAAGTCTTCAAGTATCGGGGGACTGCCGATTTGTGTACGACAGTGCCGATCACATCGTTCATGCAAAGCACCAAAGTGCAGAACACCGGTGGATTATTGGCCATGGTACAAGTATCGTATGCATAGGAATCTTTAGAGGTGTCTAGAACACATCTATATGTCACATTTAAGCTGATGTCCACTTTGTTTGTGGTCTTTTTTTTCTAGTTTTTTTTCTTGTTGCTGCATTATATATTTGTGGGAGCTTAGATATGACATCCTTGAAAAATATTTAGATGTGAATTAGACAAACTGGATCTTTAGCGCCGGCACTGTCGTACACGAATCAAAAGCACAGCATCGTACGCGTTGCAGTGCTCGTGTACTGAAGAAGTGAAGAGAATCACGTCTAGACTTTCGTTCAGAAACAGAGGTAGTCCAGGTAGTAGTATATACTATCATTCTCACTGACATAATAGAGGGCAGTCTCAAAGTCTTGAACTGGTGGCGACGAAAAATACTTCTATATATAGAGAGAGAGATGGATGTGGAACGATCCTTCTCTTATCTTGTTTATTTACTGCATGGCCGGTCGCCCTTCGTACGTAACGTACATGCTTATTTCTTCAGGTACCCATGCTGGCTTTCTTTGACTTTTCATGTAGAGTGGCTTTCTTTGACTTGAGCCCATCGACCCGTTCGTGCAAGCAAAAAGGTGCTGATCGATACCCTCCGTGCTAAACCACAACACTATCCAACACAAAACCCTAATTTCCCGCAAAAAAGAACACAAAACCCTAATTACCACCACTTCATTTCGACTACAGCCCCATGCTCCACGCATGCATCGAAACAAAATCTACCGCACAAACACCAGCTCCCAATCATGCATGCGACTGATCGGCGAGGCCATGATAGCAAAATGACATCCGATACATATGCAACCAGTTACCAGCATAGCATAGGTGCCAAGATTCCCATCTCCTGCGAGCCATTCTTTTTGTTCCTGCAAATCAGATCCCCGGCCAAACCACGCCGTCAGATCACCTCGCCAAATCAGTCACAGAGAAAGCAACATCAGTGGCCCGGAGATCGCCATGGGAGTCTGGGTCCTCCGTCCTTCGCCGCGAAGCATGCACATGCGATCTCATCCCCATCTCCCTAGCTTTGCGCAACAACAACGAAAATTCAAAAGGTGAGCGAACGAACGATTGAATGGTGCCTGTCAGTTGCCACAGGCCACCAACAGTGGATTCACCACCACTACTCCGATACCAGGACGGAGCTGGAGATATTCTTTGCTCTCACCAAACTACGGGAGGGTCCATGCATGGGGCAATAATTTGTGGAGCTTTGGATCTGCCTAGAGCTGTCTAGAACTGTGTAGGGTCCTGGGAATCTGAGATATGTCACAGGATCAGGCACAGGCTTATTTTGTCCCGCGAAAACATGCATGTCAATGCAGTTCAGCTGGTTGCCATGTCTTCTGAGAATATGTGTGCCACCGGCCAGTACCATGACGATGGCAATAATAATATCAAGGCTATGGTTCCTGTGTCGAGTCAAGGGCTACAAGGACCATGTGGATGTTACGATGGTGATAAGGGCTAGTTTCTTTTGGGTTTATGGAATGGCTGTCAAAATAAGCTACCCCTACGCAGTTTATTTTATCAACCCAACCTAAAATTTAATTCTAGAAACCATATGGCCATGGTTACCTATCCAGTGAGATTGTTGCAACTCACACTATGGGGATGGTATGACAGTATATACAACATGATTCTATGTCTGGTTTGGGCATGACTGTGCTGTTTCGGTCCCAGCATCTATCGTTGATGTATCGGAGTTGGTTGCTTTGTAATACAAAGTGAGGGAAAACCCTTTTTCGGGATGATATGTTGTGACCAGAGGCGGATTTAGGCTCCAGGCAGCCCGCTGCCTGGGGCGTGAGGGCGTTTCCCTTCGTTGACGGTAGCAACAGCACAGTACTTCGAAGCTTGCCTGGGGCGGCCTGGGACCTGCCGTTTTTCTGGGTCCGTCACTGGTTGTGACCAACACAATGGCGATGCAATAATAATAGTATCAAGGGTATCTTGTTTAAACAAAAATATCAAGAGTATGGTTCCTGCGTCGAGTGAGACTGTTGCCACTCGCAGCACGAGGATGGTATGACAATACCATGGGCGTGATTCCTGTGTCCAGGAGACTATTCCGACTCACACCATTAGGATGGCATGACAGTATCAATGTTTGTTTCATGTATGCAGAAAGGCTCGTGTATCTTTTCATTTATAGAAGGAGTTAGAGAGTTACAAGGTTGGGTATATCGTACAATGGGTGCGCAAGAAAGCATGAGAACGATGACCGAAGCAGAAGAAACATGGGGCCCAAGCAACCTAGCCTATGTCTCCGGCAACATCCTATTAATTCCGGATGCCCTAGCCCTAGCCCATGTGTGCAACGTCCTCCTAGATAGCCTGCACAAGGAGTATTATAGTTGTATGTTTTTTTTTCAACCGGGCTCACAACCCCTTTCCATTAATTTTGCAATCAACGGAAATACATCAGTCTATATCCAAGTTCTTAGTATCCGAATTACCAACTAACTCAAACCAGATAGACCTTGCGCGTAATGAGACTGAAAAGGGGGAGCGAGTTGGCGCATCATCAGGAAACCCACCGCACGATGATCCTGGAACGGACCATCAGCCGTGAGGCGAAAACCTGATGACACTCACAAGCCACTGCCCAAAAAAAACAAAGTACCGAACGACCTAGGATGAAACAACTAGCAGACTCCAGCGACTAAGCGAACCACAGCCATGATACAAAATACCAGCGGGCATCAAAACCCAGTGGGAAGCGAAGTTTTAAAACACCAAGGCGCTGATCGCACCTAAGCAATCTGCACACCATCTCTGTCTCCCAAGAGCAGTCTGCCTCGAAGGAAGGATCTATCCGCCAGCGCCGCAGCGACATGAGCCAATCTCCTCACCCCCACCTGGAGCTTCACCCTATCCTCTTCCTTCAGTATACCTGCCCAATACATCATAAAAGAACATGCCGTGAAAACAGCCTCCAGAGGAGATCGAACGACATGCTTATCAAAAGTAACTTTATTGCGAAGAATCCAAATCCCCCAACATATCGCAGCAATGATCATCATATAGATGTGCTTCCCACCCGGAAAGAATTTATAAAGTCAGGAAAAACTTTGCCAAAGGGAGCGAGGGCAGCAAGATGCCCCGGCCGTCATGCCCAGCGTCCCCCAAACAGAACGAGCGAGCAAGCAGGAAAAAAACAAGTGGTTTGCCGTTTCAACATTAGGAACATATGGGATTTCCAGGCCAATTCCTGGCACGCATGTTATCACGGGTAAGGATGAATTTTGAAAAAATTGCCAAAGGAAGATCTTAATCTTCAGCGGGATGGGTGGTTTCCACACCATTTTATAGTTAGGACCTGATAGATTTCTTTCCAGCCACTCGTATAAGGATTTAGTAGTAAATTTTCCTTTACCACCAAGGGACCATGAAATCTTATCTGGAGACTCATTCAACGTCAACTTTTTAGCTTCCATGACCATCCAAGCCCATTGATCGCCCAACGTCCCAACCAATCTGCGTCTGAAGCCAATCTCATAGTTACTTGCAGCCCAGGATGCAACAGTGCAATCCTGATCCAACATAAAGTTGTGTTTTTTGTCACCTCCACCTTAAATGTATGTCTTTGTGCAATTTCCTTAATTTATTTATGGTTCATATCTCTATTTTATCAACTGTCTGATTGTCTTCAAAACCGTAGCTAGATTTTGTTCAGGTACAATGTCTTAGTTTTGGTTTAATGGTCCGAACACGCAAATGACTATGCATGAGTCGCCTTGTGAATAACAATCCCTGTTTTGAAATAATGTATCAAGGAAGATGACTTATGGTGATATTTCTGCTTGGGACGCATATTACTTGGCACTTATATTACTTGGCACTCTTCTTGATGTTAAATATTCCCTCGGTTTGGAAATATTTGTCGGACAAATGAATGTATCTAGATTTATTTTAGTTCTAGATACATTCATTTTTATCCATTCTCAACAATAACAACAACAACAACAACAACAACAAAAACAACAAAAACAACAACAACAACAACAACGAAAATGCAGGGAAAGAGTACTTTTACGGGGAAAATACAAGTATCTACGAGGTGCTACTTGATAAAAGTTCACAAGGTTGGTAATGGTAATTTGTTTCCATCTCTTGCAGCACACAATCCGTACGTACACATGTGCTCCCATGTGCCGCTGTGCTACCCACCATCCTACACAAATATCGCTCAGCCGCTGAACGGCCGGTACTCCTTGAGCTCGCCGATGACGTCGGCTATGGACCCGGCCGCGGCGGCGACGGACACGACGAGGCAGGCGGCGCTGAGCATCTTGAGGCAAACCCACCGCGTGCTCCCCCGTCGCACGCCGCGCTGCACGATGTACATCTCGACGGGGAAGTAGACGGTGAGCGGCCAGAACGCGACGGCGCCGAGGAGCCCCACGACGTCGCCGAAGAAGGGGAGCAGCATGGAGACGACGGTGGTGAGGCAGACGAAGGCCGTGCGCCAGGTGAGCCGGAAGACGCTGATGGCGAAGGGTCCCACGCGGAGCTCCCGGGCGATGAAGGCGCTGTCGGGCCACCTCGCCGCCGCCCACTTCTCGACGAAGGCGAAGAGGGGCTGGCAGAAGACCTGGTAGGCGCCGACGAGGTGCAGCACGATGGCGGCGTTGGCGACGTCCAGCAGCCAGAAGGGCTCGTAGAAGCCGAACCCCGTGAGGAGGTTGTCGGGCGCAGCGTCGCCGAACGCCGCGTACCCCATGCACCCGCACAGCATGTAGAACACCGTCGTCGTCGCCACGCTTATCCCCGTAGCCTTCTTCATCACCTTCGCCTCCGACGGCGGCGGCGCCTTCACCGTGTCCTGTTAAAATTTTGAAAAGGGCACGCGTCGTCGTCGTCAGTACTCAGTACCACGTCAAAAGAACAGAGGGCTCCAAGAAACAGAGCAGAACAGAGATTAAAATGCTTGCCTGGATTTCGATGAGGATGATGGAGTAGGAGTAGGCGAAGGCAATGTTGCCGAAGGCCTGAAGGCTGCGCCACACCTTCTGCATGGAGGTCACGCCCGGGCCGACGCTGAGGCCGGTGAGGCTGCCCTGGATGCCACCGTTGGCGACGGTCTGCGCGATGCCGAGGCCGAGCCCGATGGTGGAGTAGGTGAAGGACATGACGGCGGCGACGATGGAGAGCCACCATATCTGGTCGAAGTCCGGTATCTGCGAGAAGAGGATCTGCACGACCCCGAAGACGATCATGTACGGGTTGCTGGAGCTCTTGCACTCGTCCTTCCCGCTGCGGCCCCTGACGTCGTGGTAATGGAAGCAGTCCGCCCTCCCGATCGCCCGCATGCTGATGGAGGCGGCGATGGTGTAGCCGATGGCGACGCCGACGAGGTTGGCGTACTGGATGACGCCGCAGAGCTTCACCTTGGTGCCCGGGAGGTAGGAGCGGACGGCGTCCATGTAGGTGTAGTTGCGCTTGCCGGTCTCCGGGTCGCCGGAGCGGTAGCACTCGGCGAGGAGCGTGGAGGTGTAGTAGATGACGAGCGCGAACAGGAGCATGATGGCGGGGCCCGCCACCCAGCCGAGCTGGGCGATGGCCCACGCCAGCGAGAGGACGCCCGAGCCGATGACGGCGGTGATGATGTGGGCGCTCGCCGTCCACACCGTGCCCGACCGACGCGGGCGCCCGTCGTCGTCAAGCCAGTCGGACTCCCTGCCGTTCCCGGCCTCCACCGACACCTCCATCGGCGCCATCCTGGCCGCGCCCTTCCCGTAGCTCGCCTGCTTCTTCTCCATCAGGGAAACGATGGCGACTGGCGCGTGTCTCGCCGGTGGGATTGATTAATTAGCTAGCGGCTAGCGGGAGCTTGGAGTGGTGGTTCTTGTTGGTGGTGGAGTGAGGGGGATGGGAGGGAGGTATATATAGCGAGGCGATGAGACAAGGGAGAGGCGTGCGGGGATGGGCTGAGACCATGTGTGGTGCACAATGTAGATGCAGTGAGGTGGTGGGGGTGGGGGTGGGGGATGCTGCCGTCGAGCTTTTTGGTGTGGTTCCCGCGTGGAGGGGCGCGCGGGGAGAGGAGTACGTGAGGAGGACGAAGGTGGTGTCTTGTTTCGCTTTCTAACTTCCACTGCCGCTGCCGCCGGTGGCAACTGGCAGCAGCTCCTCCTGGTCTTCGCGTGCTCTTTGCGTTGCGAGCACCGTAGTAGGAGGATTAATTGGATTTTTGTTAGTGCTGACGTGGAAGGATCAACTTAGTTTAGCTTTTGGTTTGTCCATTATTAAGGAGTTGGGAGTCCCAATTAAAAGACAAAAAAGAAGGAGCTGGAGAACTGTAGACAAGCCTTCAAGTAGCCAGGGCTACGCTAGCGGCCAACATGTCCGAAAACCGTTGCATTTCTTTCGTTCAGAAAACGCATGAAATAAGATTAACCCAACAATTTTAGTGGCGGTGGTTTAGAGCTCTGGATGGTTGTCAAGTACTCCCTCAGTTTGAAAAAGCACGTCCCTCAAATGGATGTATCTAGCACCAAATTAGTGCTACATACATTCATTTGAGAAACAAGATTGAAACAAGGTATTTGAGAAACAAGTTTGGGACAAGGTTTTTCGAGCGGAAGGTGTAATGTCTAATAACCAACTTTTCGTCAATTCCGCTTGCTTCCTACAAGCGTGAAAGGTAAAGAGGGCGTTGACCCAGCCTGAGATGTGATCGGGGTTGTGCTTTTAGGTAACCGGCGTTGATCGAGACGCGATCCTTGATCTCTTGGCACAGATTCTAGCTCACGCTCGCAAAGTTGACAGGAACAAAGTTTGGGTGATCACACATTGAAGTCTATTCACAGCCCCCAAAGGCGATCATGGAGTACTAACCAGACGAAGAATTTGCACTTTAGTGAGGGGAGATGATCTTCGTTTTGAACTATAAATTGTTTTAGTCATTCTTTTGTACCATAAGATTAGGGGTGGAAACGGATTGGATAGTGCTCTTACCACTTCCGTTTTCATATTTTCAAAATAAATACGGATGTTTTCGGATATGGATTCGGCTCGGATGTTATTCGAATATGGATGCATATCGGATGTTTTCTTGATTCGGAACGGATACCAATAATAGCGACATATTGCTCAAGTAAATTAGTCAATAGCTATGTGACATGAAATAATCAACTTGTCTCATACAATAAGTCAATGATAGATAAGTTTATGAATAAATGGAGTATTTAACAAAAAACTACCACAATTCATGGAACTGTGTCTACAAACTACCACTTTACAAATTTGTGCCGAAAACTACCACTTTTTCACTAATTCTTTACAAAAAACACTAGTGACTGATTTGGATGAAATTAAACTCGATTATGACAGCGCCGCTGGAGTACTTCATCTTCTCCGCCTCCGGTGAAGACCACCGCCGCCTCGATCTCTTTCTCCGGTGACCCGCGTGCCTCCTCTGAGTTCATGGCGGAGCTGGTGTGGCCGGAGCGGCTGGCGCCAAACCTTCCATCCTCCTGCCATCTGACGTCGTCGCCGGCGGCGTGCGTACCTCCTGCTTTTTCCCCTTCCCTCTCTCTCTCATCGACTGATTTCCCCACCTGGCGACCAGCGGGCACATGCGGTGAGCTCGGCACGCGCAGGCGGCGAGACTTGCGGGGCGCGGCAGCCACCAGGGAGCGCGTGCGAGAAAGAGGGGGAGGTGGTCCGAACCTGCACCAGAGGCGGGAAACGCTGGCGGCGCCGGCGAGGTCGGCAAGGTCGTCGCAGGGGGAGAGGTCCCCCCGACGCAGTCGACGAAGCCTGCGGGGTACATGCTGCGACCAGCGGCTCACGGCAGAGCATGGCGGCCAGCGGCGGCGCGTCAGCGCTGCACGGACGAGGCGAGCAGGTGCGACGCGGTTCGCGGCAGCATGTAGCGAGGCCAGCAGGGCCGCTACGCAGCTTGGCCTGGCAAGTGGCAGCTCCGACCGCAACGAGCAGCAGTAGTGCATGGCCATGGCTAGCTAGCCTGGCAACTCCGACGGTGTTGGGTACACCGTACACAAGCAGCTAGTGCGGTAGTGTCTCCGCCGCCGGCCATCTTGCTCGCATTGGAGCGTGTGGGGGCTGCCGGCGTGCCTGTGCCTTCCCGGCGAGATGGGCGAGCTGGGGGGCTGATTGCTTTTTCTATACTGACGTGTGGGCCAACTCGTCATAATTGAGTTTAAACAAGTTGAATCGGACACTTTTTATACATGGTAGTTTTTAGTCAAAGATTAGTGAAAAAATGGTAGTTTTTCGCACAAATTTGTAAAGTGGTAGTTTATAGGCACGGTTCCATGAATTGTGGTAGTTTTTTGTTAAATACTCTGAACAAATGATATAGTAATGCATAATAATTTCTAAGTTTAATCATACAAAGAGTACAATTTGATCACTTATTTTGCTTTTATGTTGGATATAATGGGGCTATAATTTTCAAATTTACCTCCCATAATTTTATTCGAATAACAATATATCCACTTCTATATCCATATTTGTGTCAAAATCTCATACCATATTTTGTTTTCTATTTGTTAAATAAATTCGATATGGATAATTTCCATTTCCATTTTGGTTTGGATGCGGATGTTTCGGATACGAATAGGCATTTTCTAGAATACGAATATCTGATATTTCAGATTATCCGCTACCACTTTCCACCCCTAATAAGATATATGTCCAATTTTCGGGTTTTGTGCTCTTTATCTCTCTTGATCCTAAATGCCCCACTCTTACATTTTTTCCGTAAGGGAGGATAACCCAGGCCTCTTCATCAAGTGATGCACACATCCATATATTATTTAACACTTACACTTTATTGCCATCCAACAATTAATTATGCGGTGCATCCTTCATTTGTTGCACCACCCATGCTCTTGTCTCTTCATTTAGTACGATTTTGAGTCAGCCGCTGGGCACCAAGCTGACATATTTGTAGGATACTACGACACCAGGCCACTGAACATTCTTCCTGTTGTAGCTGGCAGTACTATCGTGGCATCTCGCCACACATCCACTCATCCTCTCTCTCCCTCTCCCCCCTCTCTCTCCACATGGATTCTCCTGTCAGCCATGGTGCAAGTATCCCAAGCTTATCCTATTGCTTTGCCTTGAACCCTAATGCTTTTAGTGACTCAACTCGGCCTTCAAGGCGACTACTTATTTGCCTCAATCGGCTCCATTGGTATGCAAAACAAGTTTGAGGACGAAGAGCACTGGGAAATAGGAAGAAAAAACTTGAAATCTTTAAGGTAGCTAAGTAATGAAAAATGTGTAAGATTCTTTTTTACTTCTGCCCATTGTGATTATGGCTAGTACATGGAATGTGTTAAATTGGAATATCAGAGGACTGAATGACCCTAGTAAATGGACTACATTTTCTAACAAAATTGGGGAATCTTCTTGCTCTAGTCTTTTCCTTTAGGAAACCAAGAGAGGTTGATTTGAAAACAATTACATCAAAAATTTCTGCCCTGGATCTCTGAATAAATATTGTTTCCTTGCTTCTGTGGGTTCTGGTGGTCTACTTGTAGTTTGGAATGAACAGTTTTTCACTGGGCACACTATATGCAAAAAATGATTTCTCCATCTCCATTCCCTTCACCTCCACCCTTAATGGGGAACAATGGACCCTTACCAATGTTTATGGTCCATGCCGGCATGATGAAAGAATTCTTTTAATTAACTAGTTTCAGAACTTGCAGATGGATGATGAGGTTAACCAGCTGATTTTAGGGGATTTCAACTACATTAGCTAGGTACCATCATAATATGAACAGAACAGGTGGCAACATCCAGGATATGTTTTCTTTCAATGAGGAAATCAGTCAATTGGGTCTAGTTGAAATCCCTTTGAAAGACAGAAGGTTTACTTGGAGTAACATGCAGGAAGCCCCTCTACTGGAAAAGCTAGACTACTCTTTTACTTCAAAGAACAGGACTTTGTCCTACTCTGACACATTTGTTATCCCACTTGCAAAAACAACTTCAGATGTTCCTCTAATGATTAAGATTGGCACTTCTATACCCACAACCTCTGTTTTGAGGTTTGAATTTTTTTGTATTGAGCACCCTACTTTTAGAGATGCAGTGAAGAATATTTGGGATCAAGATGTCTAGGAAAATGTTAGTGCAAAAACTGTTGTGGCAAAGTGCGGTGCAACTGAAAGTGCAACTATCCCTAGGTGGTTTTGGTAATTCCTAACAACATATAGCTCATTGAGCTAACATCATTCCAAGATGAACATTTCAGGAAAAGCTCAATGAATGTCATGGCATGGATAAGGAAAGTGGATCCCTCAAAATACTAAGGATAAAAGGATTGGCTCAAGCTCAAAAGCTCAAGACTCTACATTTTATATTTTAGTGATCCAAGATCACATTGAGTCTATAGGAAAAGCCAATACTATCAAGGAGGGATGAGGTGTTGCTTAATGAGTTTTTTGCTCCACAGTGCTTAGTGATATGCTCCAAAAACCCTCAACTACTTTCTCATATCCACATATGACCCAAACCAAAAGTCAAACTTGACCCCACCGAATCTTTCTACCCGGCGCCACCGAGTTTAGATGTCATAGCCACTGCCACAAACCCTAGGCAAATCGGTCTCACCGATAGGGATCTCGGTCTCACCGAGATGGTATTGTAATCTCTCTGTTTCCCTTCGTAACGTTTCGGTCCCACCGAGATGAGCGATCGGTCCCACCGAGATTGCAATGTAAACTCTCTGTTTCCATTTCGTAACATTTCGTTCTCACCGAGTTTACCTGACCAACTC